CTTATGATAACATACATACAACCAGCTTCACGATCGTCCTTATGATAACATAAACCAACCAGCTTCACGGTCGTCCTCATGATAACATTCTACAACTAGCTTCACGATCGTCCTTATGATAACATTCTACAACTAGCTTCACGGTCGTCCTTATGATAACATACATACAACCAGCTTCACGGTCGTCCTTATGATAACATAAACCAACCAGCGTCACGGTCGTCCTTATGATAACATTAGAAAAATTCTAAATTCCATTTTGTGTACTATGAACGAAGATTTGATTGTCCGCGTTAGTTAATCATTGATATACACTATGTTAGATTAGTTGTCTGGTGGCTTGGTGTTACATATACATTGTATATACATTAGTGTTGTACCTACATCTCAGTACAGGATCGACCTATGATGATGGCGAGCCTCGTCGTTGAAGTAAAAGACGCTTGCCCGTCTATATCACATGGTCTTATATACACTTCGTTAGGTTGGTTGTCTGATGGTTTGGTGTTACATATACATTGTATATATATTAGTGTTGTACCTACATCTCAGTACAGGATCGACCTATGATGATGACTAGTCTCGTCGTTGAAGTAAAAGACGCATGCCCGTCTATATCACATGGTCTTATCCTTCTTACACTTGTATTTTCCCATGATCTCGGTGTAAATCTTTATCTTGTTTATAGTTTTAGCTTGACATACGATTTTATTCATATATCGGTATTCTCTTGTTCCTTTTTTCATTTTTTAAAAAATAAACAAACAATATTACAACGCATGTACGAAGTAATAATCATTTCTAAGTACAAAGGGTCCAGTTTGCTCATCATAAAAAATTCTCAAGCAACATTGGCAATGTTCTTATCATTCCACACTTGTAGATTTGCTGAGATAGTTCAGATTGATGTTTTTGAGTGTCAATTTCACTTTGAAAGTCCTTTTTCAGTGGCAAGGTTTTTACTTGGACACAAACCACTGCTTAAGTCTAACCAAGTATGAAGCAAGTGGGGGCAGATAATTTCTGACTCCACCATAAAGCTTTACATAGACGGAAAACTGTTCTCGAAACTCAACATGAACTAATTACTTTGTCAAAGTAAAACAGAACAAGATGTTGAGAGTAGTGAGTATCCAGGGTACTACGTATTTAACTATGACAGATATTGAAACGATCATATCACTAAAGAGTATATTCTCTTGATAACTTCTGGGAAATGGACGTTAGGATATACCCTAATGTCACCGGACAGATTCATATTCTACTATAAAAATCTGATTGTGTAGGTGTAGGTAAAGAAAACATCAGACAAGTAAAATTTCCTGTTTTAGATTCGTTGTGAGATTACAAGCAGAATTGTACTATGCTCCTACAATATTTCAACCTGAAATATGGGAAGGGCAAAATAATAATTTTCACAGATCATAATCCTACCCGTCGATTCTGTTGGACTTGAGTCTACATAGATCACAGCGGGACATCTCTTCACACTTAACCCGCGCACTCTCTCCTTTGTTTAGTTATTTGTTATCTAAACAAGTATATCGCGTGTACAAACGACGGGCTGATAAAGCAATAGGATATCCGTGTGGGACAAAATTCGGGAAATATCAATCATCGTATAAATGTAAACTATACGCTGTTTTAGCTGTTTCAGTATGGAAATTTGTCTTTTTTTGATGGTCCAGGTATTCTCTGTTTTTAACTTAAATTGAAACAAAAAGATGCGTGTTTTTATTGCACTTATTCTTTTTGGATTCTTTTCCATCAATATTATTTTCGTGATCTTGTCCTAAAAATCCGCGAAAAATATTAAACCCCGCGATTATTCCAAATTTGAATGTGTTTACACAAACGATGACGTGGAAACAGGTGCTGACGTAATTCTCACTAAATCCTCTGATAATACATGTCCGACATGCACAGTGACAACTAATGAGGTATATATAGGTATGGTGGTTCAAATGTAAATGAAATATTATACATATATTCTAAAAAATTGATGGAACTGGCCCAGTTAGCTGGGTAATAATGAATTCAAGACAATATCTATTTGACAGATCACAATTGTTAACTGTGCTTTTTAGATAAAATACAAAATGAACCGTCTGCAGTTTTAGTCTAAGAAAGTGCAATAGCTATAGGCACCATTTTCAACACCTGAATTGTAAAAGAATTTATAATGAGAATAGTGATATAAATTGTGATCCAACTCATCTGTATTTTAATTAAAGGGATTCGTGGTAGGCTAGATCACTATATTAGACAAGTAAAATACGGCAATTTCTAATTTCTACGGCAGCATTATCATAGAGATTAAACAAATTAATCTTCCGTCGGTAGTTCAATTTTCTCGGTCTTATGCAACTCGTATGATTTACGCTCGAAGGTAACACGAACTTACAGCCTTGATTTCTTATTTCAAATTTTTTATCAGGTTTCTCAACTTCTGTTTGTCAACTTAGCTAGTAATTACGATCAAGAAAGTCGTGTACACTTTATGTGACGGTGACAGGTAACACGTATGAAAGAAATGACGATATTTTGTTGTGTATTACAGATATGTTCTGTAACATTTTAATAACAATATCCATCAAGTTGAAGAAGATATATCAATTTCTCAAAAATAAGAAATATTGTTCAATCTCGATAAGATATGCCCAGAAATATTGGAAAGGGATTTCCTGATACTTTGACGTGGTAATTAGAAATTTCTTCTTCAGATAACAGTTAGGGTACGCAAATAAGTTAACTTACATCTGTATGCTCCAACATTCCGGTCCTGGAGTGGCAATACATTTTTCACATTTTATTTGTTTTCAATACGTTTAAGATTCATGTGAAAAATATATAAATGTTGCAAAGAGTCATTTCAAAACAGGCAAGTGTTGTATTCGATGTGAATTATACATACATGTATGTTTGTAAATGAAAAAGCGAAATGAAATACCGACATATCATAGATCAACGAGATTAATACATGAACAAAATAAAAAAAAATACATTGACCATTGAAAAAAGCAAAGAGAAGATACCAGGTCTGCCGGAAGGGGAAGCGTCCTCTGCTTCATCAAAACAACCGCGGTGTAAATTTTGATCATTTCAGGTAATTAACGAAACTTTTTCAAATGAAAGCATAGCCAGCAACAAAGAAATCACCAGGCACGTAATGAACATTACACGCTTCATAACACACGGGGAGATACCATAATTCTAATTATGGAGACCACCATAGAGATGCAGTGTGTGAGTCTAAGGAATAGACATGAAGAATATACTCCGCACTGACGTTAATTGACATATCCATTACAACTATGCAAACCCGTTTTTTTTTCTATGGAAAGTAATGCCCGATGTCTTAATATTCCTGTTGTATGTTGGTATAAAAGTGGCGAGACTTTGGCGAGCGTTTTTTTTGTCTCTGTTTACGAGACGAAATAAATCTGGTCTTTTATTGTCTATACTTATAGCGATGTAATATCAGCTACCATGTTTATAGCAATAAAATGCTTAAGTAAAATAATGATTACAACAAAATCTTACCATACATTCAGACCCAACTGCAATATTTAAAACATGCAAAGATTAAGGCTTATTACAATGATTATAATGATGAATTAACTGTCATATATATTATAATTAAGACGGTCGTTATTGATTAGTTGGACTACAGGTAATTGTTGTATAATACAATGATTGTACCTGCTCCACCCATGAGTGTAGGAAGTGACTAGGGATATATTTTTCCCTTCCCTCTAAACAGCCAAATTTTTGCTTTCATCACTTTTGGTTATGCGCGTTCGCCCTTGTGAAGAGGACTTTGTTCCTTTCTTACATTGTAAATTGATACTAAAAGAAAGCGCAGAATAAGTCTAATCGGCACAACCTCTGGATTAACCGTTTGTGTAATCAGTAGAAATAAGGAATTACTTTTCATGACACATACTTGTTTTGTTCATGCAGCATTCCTTTTGAACATTTAGATTGAAAATATCGAACTTATAGTATATTCAACAGTATTTATTAATTCGTTTAATCAATTCAGTTATATAGTACAGGACCTAAACTAACGCGAACTCGCGGTAGGTGAAATATACGAGAAATCACGATGAGAAAACAATTGGCTGAAATGGAATGTAAAAGAAATAAAGCAGGAAAGAGGGAGCGAATTCCACTAAGGATAAAGAAATCAAGTTTCTTCTCCTCTCAATTCTTCAACCAATGACAAACTTTGTAGAAATCACAAGGCCCCTTATTTCATTTAGATAAAAATGTAATAATTTTTTTTATCTGTTAACTCAATACCGATACAGACATTTTTATGATCCGACATTCCCATAGTGAACAAATCAACAAATAAACTTGAAGAAATTTTGTTTCATCTTATGAAATATACGAAGATTTGGATTGCACCGGCAACAGAAATGTTATGAAATTGTACCTTTGACTCCGAAGTATCGATAAAGTGCGAGTTTCAGTTCACCCATTATATAGATATACAAATATGTCTCCTTATATGGCTGATATCATTTAATTTAATCCATTAGAGGCATATTCAAAACTGACAGATTTTTGAATTAAATATTCCTTAATCCATTAGTTACTGAAATAATTAATACAGACTAAACTTATGAAGTCTACAACTTGAAACATTTATCAAATCAATTCTAAAGGTAACTTTAAATTCACGACATGTAGAATCTATATCCGTATCACAAACACAAAACCAACAAAAGCGTATTTACTGTTATCTAAACCCTTACAATCCTGAATCAATGCCGAAGAAATCGAATGTTATTGCAACCAATGAGATTGGAAACATTTAGTCACGTGAACAAATCAACTCTCCTTAAAAGTCACTAACTCTGGGCCAATTTTCCAAAGGGGTCTTTTCGACACAAGCGACCAGTGATATCCCCGAAGACGTGACAATTATTTTGTGCTAAACTGTTTTGAAGAGGTGCTATTTCTTATAAGTAGTTGTTACAGGGGCACCTAAGATGGCGCCCAGTGCCCTTCTGGGGACCGTGTGTCTAGCACTGGTCTTTACGGGATCTCTTGTGGATGCAAGGTAAGACTCATCCTTAACTTTACAAATTTTATCAAATAGGACACCGTTCTTTCTAAACCTGGCAGTCTTTTTCAGTGAACTGATTCTTTGTTCCTAGAAATGGAGATGCATATTGAATAAAAAAGAATTGTAGAAAAAATATTTTTCCATGGTCCAAATTTTGGTGGTGACTTATTTCTAAGGTATACACGAAGTAGGTTCATCTTTAGAAGTCGTAACTGATATAAAGTTAGGTCTTATAGACCAAACAGTCTTGCAGTCTAAAAACGCCAGTTTGCATTTTCCATTCCTTGATGTGACTTGACAATTTCTTCACCAGATATATACAGTAAGAATATAGATGTGGATCCCACCATAACTACCTGCCATTTCTTGTCAGTGCAGATGGTTCGACACGTATGAATGTCGATACTCACTGAACAGCGAGAAACACCAGCTTAATAATGGGAAAATAATCGCATTATCTAATATAGTTTATAAAAACTGTTTGTACTGCAATAGGTTTAAACGAAGTTACTTACAACACAACAGCAACAAGCGATGAATTTATGTAATCATGATGGGTATCACATGATACGCGGGAAGGTTTCATGGAAGATTTGTCAGAAGGAACTGTAGTTACACTCAAAAAATAACTTAGTATTATTTGTCATTACCATTAACATTTTAGGCAATACTAATTAGGTATACGCTAAAAATGACAAAAAAACTCCAGCTTGTACGGTGGAGTAAAGCCAATAATGGGAACAGCCGTACCATGGGAGAGCTGTCAAAACCATTGTGACGTTACTAGTTACAATCATACACTCATAATTGCATTGGCTGTCTAATACAATTGTCATGTAAAGGTAGCGAGCAAATGCAGGACACACTGAGGGTTGCTTAAACAAAGTATACGGTTTACTGGGTTATGACACCAAATAGATAAAAAAAATATGTTCTGTGAATAGAAATTCTGGAGAGTTGCTTATGTAATAAAGTTACGGATATGAAGTAAGGTGTTAACGTGCAATAATGATACTTATGGCAGTAGGTATTTTGTCCATCGTCACTCGTGATAGCAAGAACATTAGGAGTACCGAGTGCCGGTAAGTTCCGGTTTGTTATAGATAATGAATAACATAAAGGGAAAATACTGAACGCTGGTATTTCACCTTCCAGAGCTAGAACTTGTTTAGACTCTTTGGTAAAGCCCCAATATATAATGGATATTATCGTCCATCTCATGGTTATGATAGCCATAAGGTTGTCCCTAATACGTATCCAGCCGAGTTTCAAATGGTTTTAATGCTGTTAATGTAACGACAGTTTCTTAGAGGAAGTCTCAAATGTTTAAAGTTCTTTCTCTGAAATCAAATTTCCAAAGATTTAGTATTCTACATCCCCGAAGTAGTCAGAAAATTATAGATATTACATTTCGTATTTCAAGTGCAATCGTGTAATCAAGGAAATAATCTTGTATCGTTCCAATCTTATATATATATTTAGATTATGTACAAGTCCGACAGAATAGACTGTTAGCTTGTTATTACTTGATGTCTTCTTCCTTCTGTCTTACCTTACTGACTTTCTTGAATCATAAATTGAAAATTTATACAGCTAAATTAGCAGTCACTGTAGCTCTTCGAACTTAAGAAGTGGCTGTAGGAGTTTGTCAAAATGTTGAGGTTACAAACCGTCCTGTTTTGTCATGTATTTGCCCTTCTGCAAGACACTGTACATAATTGTTTTGTATAACAAGGAACAGGTCTCTCGCATGTTGTTCATTAAGGTTATTACCGGCCACTACAACGAGACATTTGTCGATAAACCCAGCCAGCAAATAATCATAACGGGAATCTCAAGCCGTGTTTTATGTTTTTTTTTTTTTAAATTAATTTAACACGACAGTAAAACCGCAGGATTATGTTGTAACAAATCTTAAAGTCTTCATTGTACTTTTAATATTGTGTTTGACTTTTATTTCAGAGCCAAGAGGTCCAAACGACAAGGTATGTTTATTTTCCTTGAAAGTGTCAATTTTAAAAACAGATATTCTAAAAATGACAAACACTGTAAGAAATCAACATGTGCGCGTACATGTAGTCCCACGTGTTCTGATTGTCTCGATTTTTCGAGCTGCGTATACAGAGACGAGTATATAAACTCGTGGGTTGGAATAGTGTCTATCTTCAGTATAATAATTTTATATAATTGATACAAGTACACAGCCTTGCGACATTTGTCACTTTATCCAAAGCCATAATAATGTAATGATTGTCATGAATGTCTTTTCCAGCTTTCGATCCTTTCTCTGACCCGTTCGGCCCCGGCGCAGGTACGTATTGTACTGTAATTTACCAACCGCGAAGGCAGATTTTCACCTATATTTAAAAAAAAAAATTTTGTCCACATACAGAATACACTATTTAAACAACAAAGAAATTATGATTAAACAGTAGACTTCTTGAAATAAACAAAAATAGTATTTAGAGTGTCACTGAGAGTGCGTTTTTATAAACACTCAGAATTTGTAAATTATGAGTTATTGTGTATATTTTCATATCTGTATTTGGATATATTTGACTATTTAGTGTTTAAAATTGACAATCTTTTAGATTTAGCACCCTTAAAATGCGTACGGCGTCTGATATTTTATCAATATTCTAGATGAACGAAAACACGTATACGGAGTGATAAATTAAAACAATAGGGAAACATACTACTTGTAATGGTATAACTGTGTCCACCATTTATTAAAATATTCAGTTTTTATCTCAACCATTGGTTACTTAATCGTAAACATCAAGTTGTATCAACAAGATCAAACCAGTTACCTGAAAAAAGTCGCCTCCGGTCCATTGTATCCGTAATCTTCTAAAAGATACCTCGTGACATTTATACAGCTAATCAGTATGTATTGTATGGAAAGTCATCATTAATTTTCTAGTATTTGCGAATGAAGAACGCATTAGAATATATAAGCTGATTCAAACAAAATTTTATAGGTATTTGCTGTAGATTTTAAGCCTATCTAAATCGATATGTTGATATACACCTAGGTATTATTGACATAGCTTAGTCTGAGCGGGCCGAACACACCTGATGCTGTTCAGTTATCTTTCATTAGGACTAGTTGTATCAAAGAACGATTCAAACTTAGAATCATTTTTCATTTTCTCCTAACTGGTTTGTTGTGATAAGACTACCTTTGAATGATCCCGCTATCAACTGTCACTGCCCCCACGGAGTTCTCGACAACATACAGCACCGGGAAACTTGCCAAAGTACACGTTCCTGGTTAAATTTGAAGTATGATTTAAATTCCCTGACAAGCTAACTGTCTAATTGTAGAAAAATTACTTCTCAATCGGATTTGATGAAAATTGATTTCGTAATGATATTGAAAATACAACTTACATTGTATTAGTTTGTTTGAGAAAGACACCGATACACTTTTGGAACATTTATTAACGAAATTCCTCGGCCGATGTTGATCGCGTATATTTATCACAGCAACGCGGTATCCAACGAGAGTGTAAAGAACGACAACTCTTGTAGAGATTACCTGAAATATATCATGGGAAGATATCTTGATATATTATTCCTCGAGGCACAACTTTATTTAAATATTACTTCTATTTTACACTATTTGTATAAATACAAGTCCATTTTTTTTACTAATTAAAAACATACTTACGGCTTCGAAATTAATTTAAATAATAAATTATCATAAAAAATTAAACAATTTTACGTTACATACATGACATTTGGTTGAGAACACCAGCTTGAAAGGTATATTATAGGTAACAATCTACGATGCCATCCGCAATTATGCCCCATTGCCACATATCATATGGAATCCAGCGATATTCTTCAAATGTTTAAATCCACTTGAACTCTTTTGTACACGCGGAATGTTTGATTTACTAGAAGTGCTTCGCTCGTAATTCTTTCTGGTGATCAAGATTATTTATTCTGCCCATTCTTATTTGATAAAATATTTTAATCATGATCCTATCTTAGGATTTAAAAAGTGGCCTCGTGTCTGTATTACAGGTGCAGGTAGTTGTAAGCCGCTACAAGCTCCAACTAACGGGAACATCGACTGTGGTGACAACATTCCGTTTTAGTAAGTAGTACATTTCGTTAATTAAGAAAAAAAATCTTATTTCCTATATATTATCTCGTGACAATAATATTACAGCTGATTTTATTTTAAGGAGCACAATTCAAGAAAAACCTTGAGAAATATTCTAATACTTAGGATCGTTCGATGACAGGAATTCTTGATATGTTTTTTTTCCCCTCACAGCACGTGCACAGCCCGTTGTAATGATGGCTATAAATTCGAAGGCGATCAAAACATTGTAGTTCGGGAGTGTGATTCTGCATCCGGAGAATATTTCCCCTTAACTGGAGAAACTCTTGCGCCCGGGGAAAAACCCACCCTTCCAATCTGTATACGTAAGTTGAACGAAATCCAAATAGTTACATCATCAAAATAATCGTCCAATGAAACGCCGAAAGGCCGTAGTAATTGATATACATCATCCATGTGGAGGCACATCCTCGATACTCAAAATTACTTTCGTTATCTGCACCCCTGGATCATATCATGGCAAAATTGAAGGTTTCGTGTGCGAGACCTTGTGGGCAAGACGGAAATATTTGTTCGGTCCCTTAATACACATCATACGAATCTCGAGGTCGCATAACGGTATATTGTAATGGCTCTGAAGTCGGGTGTCGCTCCTGTGTGATCTTTACAAGGAACGTATCAGACCGTGACTGGTCAGTTTTTTCTCTCCTGGTACCAATCAAATTACTTCGCTTTTGCCTTTGATTTTGCCATGAAATGGGGCGCAGAGGAACAAGGACATAAAGCCCCCCAAAAAAGAAAGACAGAAAAGCGCGGAGAGCAAACGATGCTAAAGAAACATAACGCGACTCACATCATGGCATAAATTACACAAAATTATTTCAAAATTATTTTATTGAATTACTTAGTACGCCGTATGTTGTTTGCGAACATACACGTGGACTATTGAAGAAGAATGGAATAATAAAAAGTAAAAAAAAAATGCATTAATACAAAGATAACTAGTTTAACACGGATTCAGACTCTTAATTCGAGATGGGCCCGCTTATTATCACTATAATTAAAATTGTCACGAAACAAATTACTGAATTGCTGGCCTCGCTTTTGGACGTCAGTCAGTTTGGGCCATTCCAATGCCTATGTATGTTTCTTAGCTGTACTACGCCACTTCACATTTCATGCAAGTTTATGACCTCGTGTTTATGACACAGTAAAAGTGTCCATTTCCATGTATGTTGGGTGTCAACCACATCAAATTGTATCATTTACTCAGACAACCAGACTTAGTTAGTTCATCTTCGTCTACTTACAAAACTTTATTCAAGCTTATACCTGACACCACTGGCTGTCAAACGTATCACAAAATGTTCTGAAAGACTGAACCGAAGGGAAGTAACTCTGGAGGATCCGGATGACCGTTAGTGGATAACAGCATTATCATCGATCAAGACATATTCAGAGATACTGCACAAATGTCACAATGAACTGTCTACTTAATCGACCAGGAAATTTCGAATGATACATTATCGAGGCGAAGACAATTTGCATGAAAATACACGCGAACGCACCTTTAAGCGGTAAAGACGTTACCGAATCGTTTTATCACAGATGGCGCGAATGTTCAACTGATGAGTCTGGAAACAAGCAAAAGGTTATGACGAGTGGCATCTAATTAAGGCTACATAGGTCTAGATTTTCAAGTTTTAAAACGATGTTGAATTCAAATGACGTTTTGAGGTAAAGGACGAACATATACAGAAGTCGCTTAGTAATCTGAATGACAGCGGGGCCAGGGCATTTTTTAGAACACTTCATTTCGGCTTTCTATGCCCAGGGATTTGGTGAAGTTAACCGTTCGTTATGTATTTTGTTACACTATCAAATATCCCGTAAGTTTACCCAGTCTTGAGAAAGTTACTAAATTTAAGTTTACTATACCAGTATGTTTGAAAAAATAAAGTTCTTTTGCAGCTGTCTGTTCTCCGGGGTGTCAGAATGGTGGATCTTGTGTCATGCCAGACACTTGCGCCTGTTCACAGGGGTGGAAGGGACTCCACTGTGAAATAGGTAATTCACGTATAGGTTAAATTCAGAGGGTTTAATTTCAGAACAGTTTTGTAAATTATCTTAAATTTGGTTTAACATTATTTCCAATCAGTATTACTAAAATAATTTAGTGGGAGAATAATTACCACTTGAGACAGGTATTAAACAGATTGGAAGATGATATAAATTACTTTACATGGTTCAGATCATTTTTCCCTTCTACCTCATAAATATTACTGTTGTAATTCTGGCATTGTTAAGGTTTCTTGACTTATAAAAATGACATCTATAAATTCTGTTCATATTCTGCTGATTAAAGTTCAGTCAAAAACACATTGAACATTACATTTCTAAAATATAAAAAAGTGTGCAGAGTTGGTTTAATTGTAAGATCTCTGTATATTTTGCAGTTGACAGTGGGTCTCACTCCGCTGGGGTAGGTCTCCCCACCGTGCTCACACCAACAAATCGTCCGCCTAGCCAATCCACATCCTACGATGCCTCTTGTGTGACATGGGGTCAGGATCACTACCGGACATTTGATGGCAAGGTGTACTCCTATCAGGGTCATTGTGAGTATGTTTTACTCAAGGACTGTGCAGCTAACACTTTCAACATTCATGTTATTAATGATCAATCGTGTTCACCTGGTTCACCCTGTGCAAGAGAGGTTGACATTTATTTCGGAAATGTGAAAGTTTCACTACTGAGGGAATCTACCGGACCGGTTATTCATTGGGATGGATCCCTGATGACACTGCCGATGACTAGAAATGGACATACTTTTGAGAAGCTTGGTGCCTACTTTATCATTCGGAGTAATCTTGGCTACATGTTACGCTGGGATGGACGTGAGTCAGTATTTATTGCAGTTACTTCAGATCACCGTGGCAACACCTGCGGACTTTGTGGAAAATTTGATGGGGATAAGTCAAATGATTTCTTGACAGATTCAGGAAAAGTGGTCACCTCTGCTTCCAGCTTTGCTACAACATGGAAAAGATCTACACTTGGCACTGGTATGTTCATGGTAGAACAGAGTTGATATTTGTTTCTTGAAATTTAAATAATCACATGTATCAAGTTTTCTGATCTTTACATACATTTCAATACATTGTGTCTAGTTAAACAGCATTAATGAAGTAATTTTCCTTCAAAAACTGCAAAGAAGACTTTTATACAGAGCTTTCAAAGCTTTGATGGATCAACACATTTGAATACCAGTATAAATGTGCTTGTTTTTTATGAATGATGATAATTGACATTTTGACAGTATTTCTGAACACCAGTCCTGTTAGAATGTAGGCCAGTGTAGACTGATTAATGTATCATCTTAATGTCTTGACTAATGAATATATTAACATCAATAGGACACTGCTACTTGTACTTTGATTCCGATCTTATTTTTGGCATTTTTGCGATCAAATTCAGCAGTCCAGACTGAGCATCGTGAAAAAAAAAATGATAAAAAAGGAAAGAGAGAGAAAAATGTCTCTTTGGTAATAAACAGATATTTTATAATTCTGTGAATTTCCCACTGAAATGTTGGCAGTTTTGAATTCTGGAGTGAAACACAGCTATTTAAAAATTTGATCAAACTTACCATACATAGATTACAAGTATGGCTGTAAATGGTATTTCTTCACTCAAGTTATTTTTCTCCCTAAAGCTTATGTGATTTGTAAAAATAACTAATGAGAGGGGAAGAAATATCATGTATACAAGCAGAGGTTTGTATGATTTGTTTCTACCACAACTACAGAGCTATTCTGATGATGAATCCAAGGGTTTTTTATCCAAGGGTTTTTGTTAACTATATCAGTTGTTGCCCCCTAATGAATATTACAACCTGTAGCGGAATACCTTTAGAATCAGAATATCAGAATATATGGAAATATTATAATTTATAATCAACCATAACAAATGGTGAACAGATTTATTATCTTGAAAACAATAAATTGAATCAGGGCTCTCACACCCCATTTTGGGACTGGGTCCCGGGGCTCTTAGAATTGGGAAAAATAATATTGTTGTCCTTAGAATTGGGAAAACTTGGGGTCTAAATTGGGAAAAAAAAGATACTATTTTGCATTGGGAATTCGACCCCAAATCTGACAGATCGAGAGCCCAGTGAATAGAAACCATATAACATTGAAATTACATTTGTATCACTGAAACATTCATTTTATTCCCCATGAATGTGTAAAGTGTGGTCAAAGTTCACCATGTCAGCCAATCAAAATGCTTTTACTGTTTATTTCACTTGCTGTATATAGTTAATTGATGAATAAAATCCACCTGATATGATTAATTCTACAATAAACATCGAAACACAACACAGATGATGTTATCTTAACATCAGGAGGATGGGCTGATTGTAGGGCAGCAATAGCATTGGCAGTTCATTTGTGGATACAGTGATAATTTTTGAAATACAATGATAAGTTTTGATTGTTTTTGACAGGCACATGTCCTGATGTACCACAGCAAAGATGTAGTCCAGATGCATCAACACAAGCTCAGACTGTCTGTTCCGCAATAATGGGTCCTGCCTTTCAGTCATGTCATGCGGTAGGTTATGAGGGCTCAAATTTGTAACATATTCTAAACTGGAATTACAAAAAATGGCCATGAAGTGAGGAAATAATTGGTTGAATATTTTAAAATGATTTGGTGACAAAGAAATCAGTATCATTAAGTTTTAGAAAATATCTGTGTGGACGAAAAAAAAAGACCAAATAAAATTTTGAAATTAGGGAAGGATGAAAAGAAGTCACCATTTGAATCAAAATCAGGGGTCACATAAACTTTTGCTAAACTTGATAATATTTCACCAGATGAAAATTTAGGAGCTAAAAACAACCATGTTTAAATAATAGAGCTATTTGTTTAAATTTGATTAATTGATTATATATGTAATAAAGAAAATACCTTTGGTTTCAAAAGCCTTGTTTCAATAAAGTCTTAAACATAGGGGAAAGCTTAAGAAAAAGACACACCTGGTAGTATTCATCTACATGTACTTCATATTTTGTGAGAAAATCCTGAATTGAAAATTTTGTAATCCCAATAAATGGAGTCCTAACCTCAGACTATATCTTAATGGGAATAGCAACGATGGTATGGAAAGGGACATTATCAGATGGTAGTTATTAATTTTCCTTGTTCTAATTTTATCAAAATTGTGTAGAATAAATTTGGTTTACTTCACCTGAAAAGAAAGAAGGCAAAAATCATTCCTGAATTTGGGTGTGGATCCATTTTGGTACTACATAACTAGTCCCATTCACTAATTTCCTGTTAGTCAATCATTATGATTTTAGTGTAGAAAGAGAATAAGTAAGTGTTATTATACTTTGTACTTAAAAATCAGTTGTATTTATTACATAGGCGTAAATCTTATGAAAAAAACCTTAGTTTGAAGGGAACATATCTCGTTATTTTTGCCATAATTTCTTCAGAAATAAATATTGTTTTTATCTTAACCTAGTGTTTGTTAGATGTACTGATTATCGTAATATGTAGCGTAGGTTGCTTGTGATAACTCTTTTTAATCATCTTTTGCATGAAAATGCTGCTTCACAATTTTTGTTTGTTATATGTCATCATGGCAATATGCCCTACAGGAAAAATCTCTGATAGAAATTCATAAACTGATATATCTCCAAATTGTAATAAAGTATTGACTTGCACAATCATTATTTAAAGACCATATACATATTGTGGATAGGTTTAGCTTATGTTATAGCGAAAGCTTGTCTATCAAAGGGAGATAACTTTTATACACTGTTGATTTGATTTAAAGACGGTGGACCCCCAGCCATACCTAGAGGCATGCAAGAGTGATTGCTGTCAGAACAATATACAGACCTGTACCTGTAATAGCTTTGAGGCCTACAGTCGGGCTTGTATGGAGGCCCATGTTGAACTTTCATGGAGAACAGACCAACTTTGTCGTACGTAACCTCTAGCATTGTATTTGTATGAGTGTGTGTGTGTGGAGGTGTTTGTGTGTGCTTGATTTTTCAATAATGCTTGATAAAAAGAAGTCAAATTTCAAAGACTGACAACTTACAGCATTAACTATCAGTCGTCAGGTTATTTTTTCATTCTACTTTAGAATATTTAATTGTTTTCTTTCACTAGCTGTCCAGTGTCCAGGAAACTTCATTCACAAAGAGTGTGGAAGTACATGTCCAAGATCCTGCGGTACTAGTGTTACATCTTGCTCTTCCACTACATGTATTGATGGGTGTTTTTGTCCAGATGGTTTGGTCCAATCGGGTGATACTTGTATTGCTCCCTCTCAATGCCCCTGTAAACACGGCGAGCACCTTCATCAACCAGGGGAGAAAATCAAGCAAGCTTGTAACACTTGGTAAATACAGGAATTGGCCAGATACAAAATATAGATACACTTGCCATGACAAAATATGAATTTCTATAGCACATTGGGAATATTTTATAATTTGTATGAGCTTGCTATATAAAGACAGATTTTTGGGTTAAGTATCGCTTCAATGTTGATAAGGTTATGTTGTATAAAAAAGTTAGATACCAAGCTCTGTTTTTAGTAAAAATTTTCAGACTGATGCTTAAATTTTTTTTTTCTGAATATTCATTGATAAGCCAAATTTGTAACAAGTAAAATTGGTTCTCACAATATAGCCCAAGGGGAAAAGTATAAAACAATTACTGAAAACTAGTGTTTGTCATAAATATTTACTGAATATGATTGAACTAATATTTGTTTCAGCACATGCAAAGATGCAAAGTGGGACTGCACCCAAAACAAATGTTCAGCCACCTGTTCTGCCACTGGCGATCCTCATTACATGACATTTGATGGCAAGCGCTATAATTTCATGGGTGAATGTTCATACTACTTGATAAAGGAGTCGCCAAACTTCAATGTCTTGGCAGAAAATATTCACTGTGGACATGGTGTTGCTTCCTGTACGAAGTCGGTCACAGTCGAGTACAATGGTCACACACTGAAGATGGATTTCCAGCACGTTCTCACTGTTGATGGAACATTAGTCACAAAGATTCCTTACAGTGGCAATGGCATCACTGTAGATAATATCAATTCCCTGTTTATGAAGGTATTGCTATGGATGTTTGATAAAAGAAAACTTTCTTAAAGTAGTAAAATGTTGCTGATTATTATTAAGGAAATCAACACAACTCAAAGTAGGTAGATGAGTTTAATATACAGATATATATGTATATAATCTATACGGATAGGTTTATCATCCCCTGGCAGTGACCGTGGAGTATATATAGCATAGCATAGTTTGTCCGAATGTTCATATGTTCACTTTTTGTCATCACTCTAGCAACTTCATTTCTCAACTTATTTTACTCAAAATTACTGATCAAGTATCATAATACTTTGAACAAGCTTTTTTTTTTATCTTGCCACAGTTAACATTAAGGTCACCTTTGCTATTATAGCAAATCTTGAAACCCAACTTCATTATAAATTTAGGGGATTTGTATCTCTGCCACATTATAAATTGGAGCTACCTTTGCTATTATAGCAAATCTTAGATGCAACCCAACTTCATTATAAATTGGAGCTAGGGGATTTGTATGGTTTCTAATGCCTTATTACCAGACAGCATTTTATTACAGTGTGTAATAATTAATTGTTAAGATTAAGTAGCCTTTCAATAAACTAAACTAGGAAACTAAAAGCTCTTTTTTTCAAAATATCTTTAATTGTTGAAAAAATATGATATTTTGCAGGCTACTCTGGACAATGGTGTTTACATACTCTGGGATGGAAGAACACGTGCCTACATCACGGTACCTCCAACCTTTATTAACAGAACTCAGGGACTGTGTGGCACATATGATTTAAAGCAGTCCAATGACTTTCTGACGAGAGAGGGTGATATTGAGACTTCGGCGTCAAACTTTGGGAACCGTTGGAAGGTGAATCCTACTTGTAAAGATGTCGGGGAGGTTGTTAATGCATGCGAGGAAAATGCCCAGAATAAAATCCAAGCTGAACAGTACTGTTCTTACCTTTCTAATGACATCTTCAAACGTAAGTACGACTTCATTTGAGTGGATCAGAGACCCAGTGTTTTATAGACAGAGAGCCTAGTCTCACTCTAAGAATAGGGCAGTGAGGACTATTTCAGTAAAATTCAACCCCCAACTTTCCAGGTTTTGTGTCTGGGTACCTCCCATGGAATTTAAGTGATAATTTGCTTAGAATTAAAAGACAAGAAACAAAACCATGGACACAAGGGATTTATTTAGTCTTGGATCCAGTATGTGTTTTATTGGAAAAGTCCTTTCAAAACATAATACATTGTACTTTAAATAGAATGAAACAGATTTGTGGAAAAAAACCTCTGCTTTAGTCTAACTGCATACTTCTAATGCATGTACAGTTTTATCTAAATTTGAGGGTTTTTTTATAATGAATGATAAAATAATGTTCATAAGGGGGTCTGAGAAGTCAGCATAAGTGAAAAAATGAAAGTAGATTCTAAAAACCTTCTTCTGTATTCACATAAATTAGATCTCAATTTTAGGGTCTCGATGTTGTATATACTGAGTGTTTGGCTTCCTGAGTTCAAATAATGGAAATCAAAGAACTTGAAATTCCAATTCCCTCAATACCGACATATAGATGCCAATGAAATTTGATTTGGAGTCATCTTATGTTCCTTGGAAAATGTTGCATAAACAGATACATCAGGACCAATGAATAAAAAGGGTTCTAAATCATATTGGTCTGATTGTCTTAGGAAGTCTAGTATTATGCAAAGAAAGTGTTGTTCTCCTTGGTGTTTAGATGGATACGTTAAAAACCTATATGTCACAAACTATAAAACTTTTTAATGTCATGCTGAATACATTTTTCCTATATACAGCATGCCATAGTGTTGTGGACAACACAGTGGATATACAAGACTGTACATTTGACATGTGTCAGTGTCAAGACAACATCAAAGACTGTTTATGTCCCATCCTTGGTAGCTACGCTCAACGATGTGCCACCTCTGGTATCTCCATTCCATGGCGTCTCAATGTATCAGAATGTGGTAGGTATAGCTTTACACACCTGTCCAACCATCTCACATGATGGTAGGTATAGTTTCACACACCTGTCCAACTATCTCAGATTATCGTAGGTATAGCTTCACACACCTGTCCAACCATCTCAGATTATGGAAGGAATAGCTTCACACACCTGTCCAACCATCTCAGATTATCATAGGTATAGCTTCACGCACCTGTCCAACCATCTCAGATTATCGTAGGTATAGCTTCACGCACCTGTCCAACCATATCAGATTATCGTAGGTATAGCTTCACGCACCTGTCCAACCATCTCAGGTTATGGAAGGAATAGCTTCACACACCTGTCCAACCATCTCAGATTATCGTAGGTATAGCTTCACGCACCTGTCCAACCATCTCAGATTATGGAAGGAATAGCTTCACACACCTGTCCAACCATCTCAGGTTATGGTAGGAATAGCTTCACACACCTGTCCAACCATCTCAGTTTATCGTAGGTATAGCTTCACACACCTGTCCAACCATCTCAGATTATGGTAGATATAGCTTACAGATCAGAAATGATTTTGACAGGAAAGCATGGAAAGCAACTCAGAATTTTTTTAGTCTTATTAGATTTGTGTTGGGAGATGTTTAAATGATTATCAGATGTTATTTTTGGACATCTTATCATTGCTGAGTGAAAAAAATAAATTATGCAGTACTGTTGAAGATATTATTGCATTGTGATGCCAAAAAGATATAAACCTCACAATAATTCACCATTTGTGTTTAGTGTTGCCCTGTACGGGAGGCCAGGAATACCAGGTGTGTCCTAATGAGTGTAAACGTACCTGTAATGTGCTGGGGAAGTACCCCAATTGTGAACCATCACAGGAATGTGCCGAGGGTTGTGGTTGTCCTGATGGACAGTCTCTCAATGACAACGGTGAATGTGTCACTATTGACCAGTGTCCTTGTGTGTTTGGTGACCGCCAATTAGAGCCAGGCAAAGTTGTCATGATGGAGGACAAAATTTGGTAAGCATATGAAGCATTTTAATTGCAGTTAGAATATTATGAAATAGTTATAATTTTTATGAAATTTTGATTAGAAAAATATGTAGAAAGAGAGATACTGTTGAAAATGATATAACAGGTAAATTAATCAAAGAAAGATTTATTACATCTTTCAAAAATACAATTTTTGTGATTGGAACTGTCTGAGAAACAGCAAAATAGGACTTTGTATGGTTTTAGCATTTTTTAGCCCACAAATCAATCAGTCTAAAATCCATAGTAACACTATGAAATCACTAAATCTCAAATAAAAAATGTTTACCAGATACCATTGTGATGATATTTATGTATTATTTCATCTATGGTTGCTATGGTAACTATCTCAAATTTGCATGAAATCTGAACACTTTTTCAATTTTGAATAGTTAATATTTCAAACATCAACCATAGATGGCATTCTTGAACAAATTATTTGTTTCTCCTGAAGTTGGAGATTAAGGACTAACTTAATTTCATTCGATATTAATTTTGTTAGTGATTGGCCTCTATAGTTTCCAAGAATAAAAACTAAGTAAAAGAAATGCCAAAATTGACATAAAATTCAAATTTCCTGAATTTAAGCAAATTTCAGGTGGTTTCCTTGGCAGCAATAGCTGAGATAACACATAAATATAACAACAATGTCGGGGAAATTTTCAAGATATGAAATACAATAATTTGAGAGTTTAATACTTGGTTTTAAAAGTTGACAGAATCTAAGGGCCAAAAAAGGACAAATTCAAATATACCGATAGTGCTTTTTTGATCATTTGAATATAACAGTTTACAATACTAGTGCTAAACATCCTGACTGAAGCTATACATAATATGTACTATTTATGGAGGATCTTCAGATTTTATTGGGAACTGATTTCAATGACTTTGATGTAAAACAACTTTCAGATTACATATAAACAAAAAATATTATGTTTGCCTGTAATTCTTTTCCTCATGTTTTGATTATTTAGAAATTACCTACACTTCCTTTGTAGTACTTTTATGTAGATTCTAGGTCAGGTTGAATTAAGGTTCTGGATTCACTCAATTTTGTTGATAAAGTGGATAGGTTACATTCAGCTCTCTAGGTACAGATATGCAGCCTTGTGTTGCTGTCACATGCCTACAAATATAGGAGAATTTTGGAATGGATGATAAAACTTTTGATCCTTTTTTAGTACTTGTCGCAATGCATCCTGGAATTGCCAGATTCCATCCCCTAATGTTGCTGTGTCCACTATATCCTCACCATGTCCAGAGAATGAAGAATACACTAAATGTACATCAGACTGCCCTGTGACTTGTCAGAACATGGCCACGCCTCCTACCTGTCCCACCCCATCTGATTGTCAGCCAGGCTGTCGCTGTAAACCTGGATATGTTCGTGAGGGTGATGATTGTGTTCTTGCTACTGACTGTCCGTGTCACCACGGCGGCAAGGCATATCGTGAGGGGGAGACAATGATAATGGACTGTAATCAGTGGTGAGTAGATTTATGATTTCCTTGATTAATAAAACATTTTCTTTCCCTATCATGTGTTCTCCTTGTAATGCTTTCCCTATGACCAGTGATAATCGTGCATGAAGTCATCTGGTTAGGGAATACTCTATCAGGCTTCTGGAAAGTGCAGTATTTGTGGATTATCTCACTATTTCAGTATGTCATTTGATATAAATGGTGAGATATAGATATACATACATATAATTACAAAAAAAAAAAAACCAATTATGTTGCTATCAACAGCCTTATTTTCAATTACAAAGTTTTATCAGCAAGTCCATGTGAAATTGAATCTTCTTATTTGGAAATCAGAGAAGTAGTTTCAATAACATGTGAAAGATATAATACTATAATATTTCTGTTCTGTTATTGGTATCACCACATTGCAAGGAGGATACACAGATTTTATCGTAATGCTTGCTTTCTTTTATTAATTTTTCTTAAGACAAATACTTTTCTTTCCTTGCGTTAATTTACTCTTTAAAATATGACTAGTTATCTCCTTTAATTGCAATATATCAGTGCTTGTTACTCTTCCTCTCATGCAGCGTGTGCACAAGCACCAAGTGGGTCTGTGAGAACAAAGACTGCCCAGCTGTTTGCAGTGCTTATGGTGACTCCCACTATCACACATTTGACGGAAAGACCTACGAGTTCCAGGGTAACTGTGATTATGTCCTTGCCAAAGCGTCACCAGATAACCCAAACCAGTTCCAGATCACCACAGAAAACATACCGTGTGGAACGAGTGGTGTCACATGTACAAAGTCCATCACATTTGAAGTTGGTGTCCCAGGTCAGTTCACTTCAAATTCAAATTCTTCAAATTCACTTCAATTTCACTCTTATAGCACTGTAAGAGTGTAACCATAACATAGAATAAAATCAAACTTGTACTTTTTATATGTGCATGTATATCAGTATATGTATTTGAAATCAGAAACAGATGTGTAAATGACAAACTAGTATTTTTATCTATCTGCATCGCCGTGATAGTCATCGCTTGTTTTTTTCCCTTTCAGGCAGCCATGCGCGTAATAAAAACTCCGTAGATTTACAGTTAACAGACAAAAGTGTATTTCCTAGCTTTAGTTGCCTGATTCTGTATAAATTCTAACTTTCACATGTGCACCTGTGTAAACACAGAGATTAGTATTCAGTTGAAAATTACTAAAGACCTCGTTTACACAGATATGGATCACCGAGCACATTCCATCATTTGGATTGAAGCCTGTAAATTTCTATCTGAGACCAGGTGACGCCTGTATGTTCGACACCAAAAAAGAAATATTGGTAGAATTTGGAAGGGATGGACCACAAAATATATTCCACACAAACGCAGTATTTGACTGTTTGAATCACTGTTTGTAATCAACATTTACAGAATGTTGAAGTGATGACAAAACATAAAAAAACAATATATTAGTTATACAACATATTAGTTGACTATCCAACTAAATGACCTGTTTTCATTGCGGTATGAATCCACTGTTCATCATTTATGATAGAAATTGTTTGATTTATTTTTCTTGGATAGGGAGCCTAAACTTCTTCAGGATACAGTTGATCAGAGGCAAGCCTGTGTATGTGGAGTCTAATTCACCATTCCACAAACAGGAGATTGGGAACTTTGTGATCATCTCTACAGACAGTGGTATCACACTGACATGGGACAGAGGTACAAGGGTTTATCTGAAACTTTCTACAAGTCACAAGGGCAAGGTAAGTCACAGTTTATATTTAGAGAAATCACTACACTACGTAGTTTCATGAAAACCAATTAAAATCATTGAAATAAGCATGAAAATTCACCTTGAAAATCTCTGTTTTGGTGTAGGGCTCCTACTGGTAGCCATGATTTTTGTATGAATTTATTTGATCACAATGATTTATTCAATGACCATTGTAAGTTTACTAAAATTTTGTTGAACAACTCACAGAGACAATATGCAAAATTCATTTCCAGGAAGTTCTCTCTGTCTTTTTGATTAGAGATAACTTTCTGAATGCTTAAAAAAATCTCAATCCAAGATCCATAGGTAGATATTTTAAAATCAAACCGTCTTATTAGTTTCAAGAAAGATGATGGAATTTTGTATAGTGAAGTAGAGAGATAATTAATGTAGTCATTACTTAACTTTTAATCACAGAATATTACATGATACTGCCACAGGTTGTTGGTCTTTGTGGAAACTTCAATGGAGACCAGTTGGATGACTTTTCAATGCCCCAAGGTGGACCCCCAGCAGTGAAGGTTACCACCTTTGCTGACAGCTGGAAGGTGCGTCAAGCCTGTGCGACACCAGGGGAGATAACTGACACTTGTGAGGCTGCTCCACATCGTAAACCTTGGGCACAACGAAAATGTAGCATACTTCAGTCATTTGTATTTCAGCCTTGCCACCACCTCATCCCTGTGCAGGAATATGTTAATAGGTTTGTGTGGTTCCTAAATTGTAACTTAATCCTAGTTGTATAATTGGTTGACATCTATATTAGTATTATATACTAAATTCACCACACCATTATATATTAAGAACTTGTATGTCCTTTTCCTCATTTTCTACTCATATGAAGAAAAATGCTTTATGAAAAGAAATTTACTCAACAGTAATCATCTGTATACCTATATAATCAGCTGTTATTTTTATCTACAGGTGTATCTTTGATACCTGTGCCTGCGACCTTGGAGGTGATTGTGAGTGTCTATGTACTGCCATCGCAGCCTATGCCCATCAGTGTGCTATAAGTGGACTTCCCATTAAGTGGCGAACTGAGGAACTTTGTGGTGAGTACATGTGTCAAAATGAAAGCCTTAGACCTTAATGAAAGTGACGAAGCTTTGATTGAACTTTATCCTAAAAATGTGTTTAAATCCACAAAGTATTAATATGACTTCATATGACAGTTCAGTTATAGAAGTGTATAAATGTTCAGTACATCTCCAGAAGAGAGGTCTCTTTACATCTCAAGCAATTTTATTTCTATGCTACTATTTTGGAAAGAAATTCAATGCTCTGTAAGCTATTTACAACATGAATTAACACTAGTCTATTCAACCAATCTTGTCTCAAAGTATTGTAGAAAAATGACATTTGTAAACACTTTTACTGATGGTAGTGGATGGGCTTATAACCAGGTATGGGTTTATTGCTAGGGATTTACCGAAAATGTATAAAAGATAGAAATCTATACTTTACAAGCTCATTTGATTTTCTGGGAAAACTGCATCTGTGTTCTCTCAGAGACTGTGATTTGGTCATAAAGGTCTACCTCATCAACATTCATTAGTCATCCTCCTCATCCTTTAGATGTCCTGATCAGTCTTTCTTTCCCTTATAGTTATACAGTGTGTTCATGTCTGTCGATTAAAATGTAAAGCCATATTTCTGTCTTGCAGCCATCCAGTGTGAAGATTGTGAGACTTACAATCCCTGTATTTCCTCATGCCCAAAACGTACCTGTGATAACCATCTGGTGTACGACACCATCACATCTGGCTGTCATGAGCAGAACTGTGTTGAAGGGTGTGATATAGAACCATGTGGGGATGGACAGGTGTATGACAGCTCAACTGAACCAATGAGGTGCATCCCAGAAGCTTTCTGTAACACAACTGTGTGTACCGTCAATGGGAAGGACTATAGACAAAACGAACGCATCACTGATAACTCTGTCTGTCAGGCTGACTGTGAGATTTGGTAAGTAGGGGAAGATAAAATTGTGAATTCTCTGAATTTGATTTCTATTTTACAATGTTGATATTAGAATGAGCAAAGGAAGAAAGAAAGAAAAAGTAAGTATGTTAAAGTTGTGTTTTTAGAAGCAAATAATGTTCATTTCTGTATGGTGACACCATGGGCCCTGTCATCGTGATATCCATGATACTATTGTCATAGTTTATAATGATACTGTTTTAAGATAAATTTTTCCGGCATTGTTTCACTTGTGGTAGTTTCCTTACCTATTCATAGAAGGAACAAGTTATTTATCACTTGTTTTATTTCCTGTAAGATCCTCATCTAGCCTCAGTTCTCAAGAGTTTGCTCCCCAGGGTTAAATATTCCTTACTCCTAATTCTCTGATTATCATTTTGCATCCAATAACTGGGATAAAATTTGACCTGTAGAATTTGTCAACAGCTACTGCGACAATGGAAAAATCAAGAGAAATGGTTACTGCAGTACAACATTAGGACCGTCAACAGTGCAGAGTGGAAACCCCACTCCTGGACCAGTGGTTGGTCCCAACGGCCTTCCCACTGCTGGTCCTGGCTCTGGTCAGACTGGTGTACCAACTGTCCACCCACAGCCTGGTAGTCATATCAACCCGACAGCTGGTCCCAGTTACACCAAACCACATCAAGATGGATCGTACAAGATTACACCTACCATTCCGGGACCAACTGTTCTACCGCCTGTTTGTGTGGCAAATGGCTGGACAAGCTGGATGAGTATTGCTGTTCCAACAGCATTCAACCGTGGGGATGTGGAAACTATGCAAGGATTGAGAGAGAAATACACTTTCTGTGATGCTAATATGGTGACAAACATCCAGTGTCGTGTGATTGGAACAAACACTATGGCAGATCAGGCAGGACAGCGAACCACTTGTGACCTGGAAAAAGGCCTCGTGTGTAATAATGCCTATCAACGCAATGGTGAAATCTGCTATGACTATGAAGTCCGATACAATTGTGATTGTGGTGAGTGAATGAAAGATCCTTTGACTATTAATTAATGAAAAAGATCCTGTGTTGACAAATTCTACTACTTTATTGTTTTGATACAGTAGTTCAATGTTAACTTGTAAAAGAAGTATGATTGTTCATGGAGAATGTATTAATCAATGCTAGTTAACATCAAGTGATGTTGTGGTTTTAAAGCAGTTGTAATTTACGTTTTAAAATTTTTACATTTCATACATTTATTTAATTACAATTCCAATCAAAAGTTTTTCTAATTTTAGCTCCTACAGCAGCCCCCGGATTAGGACCCAATGGTCAGCCCACAGCTGGTCCAGGATTAGGCCCCAATGGTCAGCCAACAGTAGCCCCAGGGATGGGACCTAATGGTCACCCCACAGCTGGCCCAGGAATAGGGCCCAATGGACAACCCACAGCAGGACCAGGATTAGGACCCAATGGTCAACCCACAGCCGGTCCAGGATTAGGGCCTAATGGTCAACCCACAGCTGGTCCAGGTTTAGGACCTGATGGAAAACCCACAATTGCACCAGCCATTGGCCCAGATGGAAAACCAATCTTACCAACACCCATGCCAGGTGTGCCTTACCCATTGAAACCTTCTTGTGAGTGGACAGAGTGGATGAACAGCTACAAGAGAACTGCCTCCAGTAAAGGTGACTATGAAACAATGAGTAACCTTCGCTTGGCTTACTCGTTCTGTGAATTTCCATCCAAGATCGAATGCCGGGTCATTAATCAACATACGCCATTGAATCAGGCTGGTCAGATGGGTGTGTCTTGCGATATCAATCGTGGTTTGGTATGTGAGGATATCAATCAGAATACTGCCACTTGTCTTGATTATGAGGTGCGTGTCTATTGTAATGATGCCTGTCATCCCACTGCCCAACCTAGTTTTGGACCCAATGGTCACCCAACAGCTGGACCAGGTTTAGGACCTAATGGTCAGCCTACTGCTGGTCCAGGATTAGGACCTGATGGAAAACCCACAGCTGGTCCAGGATTAGGTCCCAATGGTCAGCCTACTGCTGGTCCAGGTTTAGGACCTGATGGAAAACCCACAGCTGGTCCAGGATTAGGTCCAAATGGTCAACCTACTGCAGGTCCAGGATTAGGACCTGATGGAAAACCCACAGCTGGTCCAGGATTAGGTCCCAATGGTCAGCCTACTGCTGGTCCAGGTTTAGGACCTGATGGAAAACCCACAGCTGGTCCAGGATTAGGTCCAAATGGTCAACCTACTGCAGGTCCAGGATTAGGACCTGATGGAAAACCTACAGCTGGTCCAGGACTTGGACCCAATGGTCAGCCCACAGCTGGTCCAGGACTAGGACCCAATGGTCAGCCTACAGCTGGTCCAGGACTAGGACCCAATGGTCAACCTACAGCTGGTCCAGGATTAGGATCCAATGGCCAGCCCACAGCTGGTCCAGGATTAGGACCTAATGGAAAACCCACAGCTGGTCCAGGATTAGGTCCCAATGGTCAACCTACTGCTGGTCCAGGATTAGGACCTGACGGAAAACCAACAGCTGGTCCAGGATTAGGACCCAATGGTCAGCCCACAGCTGGTCCAGGACTAGGTCCTAATGGTAGGCCTACAGCTGGTCCAGGAGTAGGACCCAATAGTATACCTACAGCTGGTCCAGGACTTGGACCCAATGGTCAGCCCACAGCTGGGCCAGGACTAGGACCCAATGGTCAGCCTACAGCTGGTCCAGGACTAGGACCCAATGGTCAGCCTACAGCTGGTCCAGGATTAGGACCCAATGGCCAGCCCACAGCTGGTCCAGGATTAGGACCTGATGGAAAACCAACAGCTGGTCCAGGAGTAGGTCCCAATGGTCAGCCTACTGCTGGTCCAGGATTTGGACCTGATGGAAAACCAACAGCTGGTCCAGGAGTGGGACCCAATGGTCAGCCCACTGCTGGTCCAGGATTAGGACCTGATGGAAAACCAACTTCTGGACCAGGACACAATCCCCTTTTGGGGGAAACAACTGTTGTGACAGTCCAGACCACACATGGCCATTACACCTCTGGAAGTACTGGTAAGACTGATTTACAAACCTGTGCTGTTAATTTCATGTCATTTATTTAGTTTGATTGATGTATTTAGTTATTAAGGACTCTTTATTATTACCCCTGTGGCAGCATAGGGGTAGTATAAGCTACTTCTTTTATCTGTCTGTAAATTAACATATTGAGGATTTGAGGGATTGTTAGTGTTTTCATTAGTGCTCCTAGCAGCTATTGATTTGAGTTGTGGTTTATAATTATATTTGAAGCAACATAGTTAGAGCTTATTTTTCCACATGTTTAAGCAAAAAATTGGTTACATAAGGAAGGGGATGTTGTCAGTATCTAGTTACATATGGGAGGTGATGTTATAAATATCTGGTTAAATATGGAAGGTGTTGTTAACATCAGGCTACTTGTGGAAGGTGTTGTCAACATCAGGCTACTTGTGGAAGGTGTTGTCAACATCAGGCTACATATGGAAGGTGTTGTCAACATTATGCTACATATGGAAGGTGTTGTCAACATCAGGCTACTTGTGGAAGGTGTTGTTGTCAACATCAGGCTACATATGGAAGGTGTTGTTGTCAACATCAGGCTACATATGGAAGGTGTTGTTGTCAACATCAGGCTACATATGGAAGGTGTTGTTGTCAACATCAGGCTACATATGGAAGGTGTTGTTGTCAACATCAGGCTACATATAGAAGGTGTTGTTGACAACATTAGGCTACATTAGGAAGGTATTGTTGTCAACATCAGGCTACATATGGAAGGTGTTGTTGTCAACATCAGGCTACATATGGAAGGTGTTATTGTCAACATTATGCTACATATGGAAGGTGTTGTCAACATCAGGCTACTTGTGGAAGGTGCTGTTGTCAACATCAGGCTACATATGGAAGGTGTTATTGTCAACATCAGGCTACATATGGAAGGTGTTGTTGTCAACATCAGGCTACATATGGAAGGTGTTGTTGTCAACATTAGCTACATATGGAAGGTGTTGTTGTCAACATCAGGCTACATATGGAAGGTGTTGTCAACATCAGGCTACATATGAAAGGTGTTGTTGTCAACATCAGGCTACATATGGAAGGTGTTGTTGTCAACATCAGGCTACATATGGAAGGTGTTATTGTCAACATTATGCTACATATGGAAGGTGTTGTCAACATCAGGCTACTTGTGGAAGGTGCTGTTGTCAACATCAGGCTACATATGGAAGGTGTTATTGTCAACATCAGGCTACATATGGAAGGTGTTGTTGTCAACATCAGGCTACATATGGAAGGTGTTGTTGTCAACATTAGGCTACATATGGAAGGTGTTGTCAACATCAGGCTACATATGGAAGGTGTTGTTGACAACATCAGGCTACATTAGGAAGGTGTTGTTGTCAACATCAGGCTACATATGGAAGGTGTTGTTGTCAACATCAGGCTACATATGGAAGGTGTTGTCAACATCAGGCTACATATGGAAGGTGTTGTTGTTCCTATGAAGAATGAAATATATGAATGACCCCAGTTATTGGATATTAATTGAAATCCTAAAAGCAAACCAATGATTTACTGTTAGATATAAAGAAACATGTTTAAAATGGACAAATACACCTAAACTAACGACATTAAGTACAAAAAAGCCTGAGATACTTTATTAGTGAATTACTCTTTGCCTAAAAAGTCAGTTACCAAAAAAACATGTAAGACAATATTACCTGAACTGAAGTGAACATTTATCCACAATTAGGCAGTATACATGATTCCTAACGAAAGATATAAAGAAAAAGGAACAAAGAAGAAATAAAGTGTGACAGGAATGTTATACATTTACCAATGATATAATTGGTTAGTGTTATATTATAAACAAAATGAGATATTTATGATGAAAATTGTGCATTCATGATAACTGTTAGAGTGATATAATACAGGCTGTTATTTTGAGGATTGAACAACAATGTCATTTATTTTATATTAGGATGTACCAATGAGATTGGAGTGTCCAGTCCAGTTCAAGTGACCGATGACCAACTGGATTCTTCCTCATCCATGGGTGCTTCCACGGATGCTAACATGGCCAGGCTCAGAGGAACTGCTGCATGGGTGGCAAGGTAAGTTTGTATTACACTGCTAGACAATTCCAAATACTGGTTTTTGTCACATTCCAGGAAAATCCTCAACAAAATTGTATTTAGTATAACACTATCCCTGGTAAGTTTTCCAGCTCTTGGACTTACACAGATAATTTGTTATCAAGTTTTTGATTTTCAAAGATAAGTTTGTGTCAAGATCTTGGACTTTCCCAGGCAAGTTTGGTTTCTGTTCTCAGACACACCAAGATGCCTTTATATTCAGATCCTGGAATTTCTCAGGTAAGCTTGCTTCCAGGCCTTTGACTTCCTCAGTTAAATCTGTATACCATTTGTGGACTTGCCTAGGTAGTTCTGTTTTAAGTTCTTTGACTTTCTCAAACTTTCTTAAACTTACCAAGAGAAGTCTGTTTCGAGTTCCATACTTTTCCAGAGAAAGGAGTAGATGCACTTTGGCTCAAAATTGGCCTCAAAAAATCTTTTTTTTAATTGTTAGAAAATTCTTTAATCATGTACCCATTTGTGTTATTTAACAACTTATCAGTTGAAATGCAGATAAAGATAGGTTCATAACGCGTGTGATGACGTCACAAATTTCGCGCGAAAACGTCACGTTTACAAAAAGTCACGATTTTTTTCGATATTTTATGACTTTGAACGAAAAATTAACTACCTCCCCAAGGGTGTACCAATTTTATATTTATCATTGAGAACAATTTCCACATTATGTTTGCGATGCTCAAATATTTTTTTGGTACATGCCTGGGGAGGTATTTAAAATAACAAATATCTTCTGAATTTGTAACCACATTTCACGATTTTGGTGAGATTTTGACGTTGCCCAGCGTAACGTTAGCGTCGAGACCGACTACAAGATTGCGCTACATTGTACGTTAGTCTAAACTCGCATAGAAGATCTTGCAAGTTTCAGCCTACATTTGAAGTATGTATACGTAGAAGAGCTGTCAACACATCTGCACATCTTGTAGAAGTTGTCTACTTCTTTAACAGGTATGTAACAATATTATGTAGAAGATATCCATGTTGTGTATTCGCGACATTGTCGTGATTTGTTTACGTTTGTGCATATGAGCAGACGTCAGATCTGACTTCGAAAAAATAGTCATTGTAGATATTCCTAGTGTTTTGATAAGTATGCAGTAAGTAAAAATACAATAACAAGTATAAAAAATAAAATAAAACCTTTTCTTTTTTTGTTAGTAAACGGTATTTTCCATAATAACGTTGTCTGAGTCTGCGTCTAAAAATAGAATTTTGCAACCAAACAAAATGCAGGGATTTATCGTCAGAAAAAACATAATGGCAAAACTGTATTTGCTACAGTGTTGTTTTCAAAACATACACTAACATATAAAAATGAGAAAGTGTTCCTATATACGAGATATAAACTAAAGTGTCAATTCACACACCCATAATAAAATCAGTGTACATCCGAAGTGTGTTGGTTTTGATTTATATCACTAACAAAATCGTCATTGTGACGTAATCAGCCGCTGTAGTGTAATGGTGAAGGTGCGATGCTCTGAATATGTAGTTTTGCCGGGGCGAGTTCAAATCGCGGGCACACAACATATTATTTTTTATTCTTATTTTTTTTCTATAACTTTCACCTCAATTATTCTCGATTTTAATAGTTATATTCATCAATAATGTACTGATAGAATTAATAATTATAAATATTAGAATATCTTCAGGACGTTATATCATGTTGCTACATGTATTTTTCCATATAAATATCCTTGCATTGTAATACAAACAATTATATTTGCATCGATAGTCTTGGTGTTACAAATATTTCTTTTGGAGATATTGTAACTCTTACATCGCGTCATTTTGCTGAATTGTTATCGACCAGGGGTAGTTTTTTTTCTATATATATTTTTTGCGTCGGACTTACTTTTGCTAGCATCAAATAATCAGCATATACGTGCAGAAACTAAAGTGTTAATCTTATGGGCTAGGGTATAATTTCTCTCATTTATGCTATTATAAAATTAATACGATGAAAAATCTTACCATGCATATTTTCTTTTGAAGAATCCCAGTAACATAACGATCCTGAGGACCTGAATTCAAATATTTTTATGGATACATTTGATTCAGAAATTAAACGTAAGTCTTCTGCTTTGTAAGTTTCGTCAGCACAATGAATCGAACATTATTATATTGTGGCTATTTGATATTTTTGACCTAGCTTCATTTTTGGCTGCAGTTAGTTTATTGGCTTGTATATTTCCGGAGAACTCTTGTTATAATGGCACATCCCTGAATAACTAAATGAAGTAAATACATGTACATGCTTACATGTATATATAAACGTGATTATATGCTCCAGATATACTGTATAGCCAGTATCAATGCTACATGTACTGTTACCAAAAACAAATTACGGGAAACATACGAAACACTGGCTTGATATATATTTTTTTAAAACAGATTGACACTGGCATAATATACATTAGCTACTCTTTAAAATAAAGTTTTGTAAAAATCAGATTTTTCACCGAACTTAAGAATTAATAGATTATTTATTTTCATTATTTTCATTCTTTAAGGTTTACTAGTGACGTAATAGGAGACAGAGAGTAGCGAGAAAATGCCTGGAGATTCTTGAAGTTACATGTAAGTGTTTTAGGAAGTTCCTGAATTAATCTTATTTCTATGCTTCAAATTGTTAAGTAACAGAAATCTGAAATACTTGGAGGAGAATTCTCTCATTATCATGTTTATTTCCGTTTCTACTACAATATTTTATTTTAAAAAAGGTGACTGATATATGTATTGTAATAAAAACAGGTTTTTTTCTGTTATACATGTGTTTAATGTAATTGTCACTGTCTGTCTCCCACCAATTGTTTGTCCAGTCTTTCCTTGTTGGCTATTTATGAAGAACAATGATAAACATTTTCGATTACTTCATATGAGTCCAGCTACCAGCTTCTAAAATAGCTATTATTTTATTATTTCATACAGTATATACTGTATAATAAAGCAATTATTGACTTCTAGTAAAGTAATACAAATATTTAACACCCAGTCAAAGCAATGCTCATATCTGACTCGGGTCCCTGTTAACACATCAATTTACATGTTTGATAAATCATTGTAATAACATTATGAAGATCAGTATTGCATGATACACTGTATAAACAACAAGTGATGGATACAATGTTTCATATTTATTCAACATACAATAAGTAAATGCCCAGACGCCCTTTAGTTTCTGATGTTTGGGACATATTTTAATATAGTTAGTATCTATTTGTTTAGGATGCCTGGAAAGGGAGAATTTCGGTGTGTTGTTTGTTCTAAGAGAACAAAACCTGGGGACAGGCGCTTCACTAAAGGCAAGGAAAACTCTTCACTAAGAAAATATTTGTTGAAAACATATATGATACAAACAAAAGAAGAAGATGTCATTTGTGGAAAGTGTCGTATGTCATGTCATCGCTCAATACTACAGCGTCGTACACACATCGCTCAACACCACTCTTCAGTTGAAGCCCCTTGTAATAAATCAACAAAGAACATCCTTTCATCGCCGCGGAATATTACACTTTCAATCCCATCCACTGGAAGTAGCCACAAAAAATGTTTTGTATGCAATACTTACCCAAAGAAACTGGTGGTAATATCTCGTGACGCGAAATACGACCTCTTCCTGCGAAAAGGGGTTTTAGTTCCGTTCGGAGCAAGATGTTGTAGTCATCATATCGAGGATGGTCTATTGCAAAATGATGCTTGTGAAAACATTGCTATAAAAAGTGACCTATCTTCTCTTAATCGTACTGAAATAGTGGCATTGATTTCTAAGATTAGAGATGTAGCAAATACACAGCAAAGCAAACGCATTGACTTTGACTCACCGCATGCCCTTTCGAATGAAGATTTCATTACACTAACTGGACTATGTACACAGCATTTTAACGATTTGTGTACTCACTGTGCTGGTTCTGTGCGATCTTCAAAGAATAGGAGCATTAAATCTTGTGTCGGCATCTTTCTTACTAAACTAAAAAGTGGCATGTCAAATAAAGTCCTATCAACAGTTTTTAACATTGGAAAAGATTCTATTCGACGTGCAGTAACATCGGCAAGAGTTGCACTAGCGAAAGACTTTGTTCCATCAAATTTGGGATTTCAGCATGTTAGTCGACAAGATGTTATACTGAAACACACAAGACCACTCGCCCAAACATTGTTTGGAGGACTTATGGAACCAGCCATTCTTGTAATTGATGGCACCTACATTTATATACAAAAGAGTGGCCAATTTATGTTCCAAAGGAGGAGTTACAGCATGCATAAGCACCGGCCGTTGGTAAAACCTATGATGTTTGTCACCACAACAGGTTACATAGTGTCCGTGTTAGGTCCCTATTTTGCCGATTCCAAAAACAATGATGCCAGCATCCTGAATCAGATTTTAAATTCCAACATTCAAGAAATCAAGGAGTGGATTCAGGAAAATGATGTGTTTGTGGTTGACAGAGGCTTTAGAGATTCCATGGACCTCCTACAACAGCTAGGAATACAAACAGAGATGCCTTCTTTTTCCAAGCAAAGGAAACAGCACACTACCGGAGAAAGCAACGCTTCCAGGCTTGTTACTAAAATAAGGTAAGGTCTCTCTTTGTTCTGAGTAACATTTTACTAACTTTACCAATTGCTTTTACAACATATTTATAACTTATTTGTATTAATATATCATTAAAATGGTTAAAGGTAATTCCCAGTGAGAATTAGATACTTTCGATTTTATAAGTTGAACTGCATAAACCTGTCCATTTAGAAGATGTCGAAATTGAAAACAAAATTTATTTGATATAGTTACCATCATATGCATTTGAATACTGCATTTATTCACATTCAAAATGCATCTATTTACTATTTTTCAGATGGGTCGTTGAGGCTGTGAATGGACGGTTAAAAACCTGGAAATATTTGGATCGTGTGTTGCCAAACTCACAGATTCCATACATAGGCGATATTGTCAGGATTGTGTGTGCAATCTTCAACAAGTTCGGTACACCAATAAGCACGGGGGATGCAGAGCAAGATCAACTGCTAGGATCGAAAATGTTGCATTTGTCACGGAAGCAGAATTCTCTTTGGGAGAGAATTGAACGAGAAGGCCTTTTCAATCGACCTAGTAAGTGGCAGAAGATGGAGACCACAACTGATATCATATTTCCTGTTCTGACAGAAGAAGACCTGCGGAATTTGACACTGGGAGTGTATCAGCTCAAACTGGCACGGTCCTACACACAGGAACATATGAGCGAAACGGGAGGATATGAAGTATCTATCTGTAAAGTAGATGCTAATCTGATCAATGCCAAGATACAGAGCCGACATTTTTCCTCAAAACTTTACCAATTGTGGGTATCATTTGATGATTGTAATGTGCAAGGATGGTACTGTTCATGCCGTGCTGGGGCGAGGGTGGTTGGGACTTGCTCCCATGTTGCATCCATCTTATGGTATATGGGATTTGCACGTCATTTAGACAAGTCCTTTGACTTTAGTAAGGACTGGACACAATATTTACAAGATGCCAGTTATACACCAGACCCAATCAGTATTGATGAGAGTGATGATGAAGGTAACACGGAGGAATAAAACAGCACAGCTTTACCGATGTAGCCATGTAAATTACATATAAATTTCGGAATCTCCAAAAATGTAAATACAAATGCACGATGGTCACTTGATCGACTGAGGAATTGGCTTTAATCTCGAATGACAATGTATTTTGTTAGTGCATAATGTTTATTTGAAATAACTTTTAACTTTTGTAAGAATCATTAACTGTAACATGTTTGATTTCATATCCTTTTCAAATTAACCAAGAATATAAAGATAACCGTGTACGGAAGTATTGACAAATTGATGTACTGATTATTGCATGTACCGTTGCTATGGTGAAATATTTAGTTGCTATGGTAAGACATGGTTACTGTGGAATACCACCTATATGCTCTATTGTATCATCATATTTACATTTTTAAGATGTATCATAATCTAAACAGCCCTTGAGTATTATCATCAATTTTCTGTGTCCATTATTGTATTTATTACAATCCGTTGCTATGGAGAGAGTTTGGTTGCTATTGTGTTGCTAGGAAATCTTAAACATGTAATATATGATGGTTGATCACAAATATGATATGATTTTTAAATCATACCATTGATATGTAAAAATTGATTAAATATTTTCACCAAATAATAAAAAAACAGTGAAATATCACTAAAATATGCAAATAGACGGTAAAGAGTAGGTTGGTTTCCAGGCCCGTTGCTAGGCAACGCATTGTCAGAATTATTGAAAACTTGTTTTTTTATCAATGTCATATGTCCATGTTTGCATGATATAAAAATTAAGAAAATCTATGCTGGGGCCAAAATTGACCCTTAATGCATCTACTCCTTTAGAAATAGAAGACTTTAAGTCCCCGAGGTTTGCCGTTACCTGCTTGTCTCGATTATATTCTCTCGAATAGTGGCACAGTTCCGAAAATACACTGCTGCACCTCCCCGTCTAGATTGTGACTTTTCTTTTGATCACGATGGATTTTCCTTCGTAGCCTCCTAGGCGTCAAACTTAAGGCTCTTAGCGTCACTGCCGAGTCCTAGAAGGACGAAACAGCTGTATGATGTAGCATCACTGACGAGTCCTAGAAGGACAAGACAGCTGCATGATGCAGTTTAATTTATTGTTTGGCTCTATACTCAATCTCACTATAATTTATGGAAATGTGCTATTCAAGTGTGTGTCTTTTGTACAGCATCTTAGAAGAGAATGGTACATGCAAAAATAAGACATATAATTGTTCATCACTAAATTTGTTGATAAATGTCACGTTTGATAGAATAAGATTCGGTGTACACACTTACATTAGCTTCCGCCCACGTTCTGTTCTCCAGGGAAACGATTATGCAGACATCATATAGACGGGACCACCCTTCTGGACATCTCACAGTTATGAAATCTAGTCAAAGAAATACACGTGTAATTTTTATCTATAAACATTCGTACAGTGACTTTCTGAACATGTCTATCTTTTCACTTTGTGCTTTGCTGTTGAAATTAAGCGCGTTATGGTACATTGTTCGATCTGTCAACTTTAGTGAGTTTTAGTTGAGTGTTCGTCCCCTGTAAGAAAGACTATAGGTTATGTAATCTAGACCGATGTCGTTAAAATAAAGGGTTTTCTTGCAGAATGACTTTCTGTCGTACACTTCAGCGTGGTGGTGATATGAAGTCGATATAGGTTCTGCATTTGGAAAAGGAGGCTTACCTTTTTTTTCGAGTCAGCGTGTAAATCTATTTTTTGTTCAAATTTTGCCCCAGGCTTACTGAGTTAGAGTTCTAATTATGATTATGTTGACATGTTGGTATTTTCATGTTGTTGTTGTAGGGAAATAATGCCGACGACTTAATGTCGTTATATTGATATATAATGCTGAAAGATCGCAGCCATGAAAACAGGCAGACATAACAGGAATATTATTTGTTTCGGATAACGGTGCCGCAGACTTTCGAAAATGCGAAAGATCAACAAAAACCTTCAAGTGCAGTATCTGTGCGAGCAGTGAGTAATTAAATGTTCCAGAAAGATAGAATATACATTGGTGGTATACAGGAAAATTTGGTTTGTTTAATTCTTTATGTCAAAGTAGCATGTAATTTTAAATTCTAGCAGATGAGAGAAAAAGATGTTTAATTACCATGTTTTACACAGGTATACTCCACTCCAGCCTGAACACACATCTCATCAATAGCACAGCTGTGTCCTCTGCACACTCCACCAATACCCTACACAACATATCACATGACATCATTAATCAATAGATTATGTGAGATCTATTGTAATTGTATTAAAATATTAATTTATAAAAGAGTCCAAGAAATATACAATAAAAAAAACAATTGATTAATGTTAGGAATATTATAGCAAATCGAATAAATAAAATGCAGCTTTCAGCTTTCTCTTTGTTTAAAGCTAGGATCTGAACTGTTTGGTTTGGGAGGCGAGTTAGGAAAAAGGATTGATCAGGGTATTTGGTTTCCTTTGATATTGCTTATTACAGTGTCCTCATAACACCTGTAGTCGACTCATAACGGCCTTCCCTTGTATAACAAAAACTACCGCATCGCTCAGCTAAACCTGCCTTATCCAAACTATAGGAAAATGAACTCACAGATTTATCTATATTCTCTGTCTGCCAACAAGTGCTCACACCAACCATTTATGAAAAATGACAATTTAATGAAAGATCCTTCAAACAAAATCTGGACAAAATCCTGTCATTTTTACAGAGTTAACATGAAATAGATATTTTATCTCTTTTGAACCTAGAACACCCATACCTATCATTTATGCGGTGCTTTTCCCTTTCCTCAAAATGATGGTTCTGTCCATATTTGGTTAAAGTATCTACATTCCAACAGAAGACGAAAGATTTTAAAGCTATAAATTTCTCAAATTTGACATCGCCATGTTTATCGAGATGATTCAAACAGGCTGTTTGTAAAATCTTCCCCTTTAAATGTTTCTGACAAATCTGGTCAAAATTTGTCCCGTTGTTCATAACTAGCAGTGGTTTGAAGAAAAAGGTTGACGAACGGAGAACGGTTAAAAAACAAGGGATGTATTATACGTCCCTGGAAAAACCATTCGTTATGTTCACATCACTAGAAGGGATAATTACAAACCGCGGTTGTCCGTCGTTCGTCCATCAATCAACTTATTCTACAAATCGCTCCTGGTAATGAACGAATGAGCGAATTTTGACCAAATGTTGTCAGAAGAATACTTGGGGGACCTGGAATCAATCTCGATAAATGTTGGGTTTCTGCCCCCAGGGGCTCGAGGATTGGGGCCTAGAGGAGAGTTTTAAACTCTCTAAATCCTATTCCTTCTGTGGGAATTAATGGATTTTGTCCTAATTGGGATCTGAAGCATCTAAGGGTGAGGAAAACTTCATTTTGAGGATAAAGGATAAATGATTTTCATTCATTCATATGAGTAGAAGTTTCTGTAAACTAAACCAGATGAGCGATATTACTTCAGAGAAATAAACCAGTGAGTGATACAGGCTCTATGAACCCCTTTAAGAGTTTTAGTACATCTGATTGTTGATATCGACATAACAATCGATGCAATCACATTTATAGGAACATCTAGTTGTTCATGTCATATACACTACATATATGTATATAAGATCTTTATGAAACGAGCCTTTCTTTTTCAATTTTCCAACTTTTGTGAGCCTTGGCGAATTTCATAACATTAATTTAAGATTATAAATCAGAATTACATGAACGATATCAAACGAAGACTCAAGTTTCTGGTGCCATTTTCAATACATAAAATGTTTTTGAAATGCGTTGAATAAATGTAAAAAAAAAAAGAAAAAACCACGAGTTGAAACAGAAAAATCGACATGGTGGACTTGAAAATGAAGAAACATTCGGGAATAAGAAAATGTACGAGACGGGCGATGTCAAATGCCTCGTCAAACTCCTGAAAGAATTTTTTTCAAAGAAATAAAAAAAAAACAGATCCTAATGCAGAAGCCCTCTTTAATCACTGCAAAAAGAAGCGATTGAAGCTCCATCTAGCGAGAAGATTTGCAGTAAAACCAAATCAATTCATGCTATTCATGAGAGAGATTTCGAAAAATGCCAAATGTACACACATTTATACAGCACCTTGTTTACGCTCCACGGTAACAATCCCGATCATTTAATACAGAAAGTAACAACTTCAAGCTATTGAATGTTCAAAGATCGAAGAGTGTAAGTTTTACTCAAGAGGAAATTCAAGTAAGCCGTGGTCAGTCTCGGGTATAGACAATCTGATAATGAATAATACGTAAATTTTCAAAATAATTTTCTCCCTTTATTTACAAGATCAATCAATTTGATTATCATCGGAGATGTTTTTTTCCAGAGAGTTGGTCACGTGGTCTTATAATCCCTCTTCATGAAAAAGCAATACTGATGATGCTAATAACTATAGAGGCAGAACCTTAGTAAGTTGTCTGTCAAATCTGTTCACTTCTGTTCCTAATAACAGATTATCAGAGTGGTCAGATAACCACAGGGTCATATCAGACGCCCAGTTTGGTTTCCGTTCTGGTTTCGGGACAACAGATGTTATGTTTGTCTTGTATAGTGTAATTAACAAATTTTAAGTTAAAACAATCAGCAAAAATATTTTGTTGTTTCGTAGACAACGTAAAGGCTTTTGATACCATCAGTCGTAAGAGGTTGTTTTTATAAATTATCCAGAAATATGGTAACTGAGAAATTGTATCTATCCATGAAAAAATGAAGTCGTGCGTGAAATACCCTTCAGAGTTATCTACCTTCTTCAAATTTTCCAAATGACTTTTTCAAGGTGAAGGGTTATATCCCTTTCTTTTTTCTTTGTACATTAATAATGTTGAAAATAAATGAATTTTATATACGGACGAATGTGTTGAATTTAGTGATATGTAAATATACTTGGTTATGTACGTCGACAACACTGTCCTCCGAGTTTAATGAAGGAATTCAAACTATGTTGAATACTTTAAATAATTAGTGATGCATGGAATATTACGGTTAATGT